GCACCAGAAAGTATTGTGGGCAACCAGCAAAAACCACCGAGCGGTAGCGCTGGGCAAGCTGTTCTTGCTGCTGAGATAGGCAGGGGAATGAGGAAATCCCTTGTGGGGTACATAAGGGTTTCATAGGGGTACCTAGGGTGCCAGAATGTGGATGGTTTAAATCGAAATCCGAGACCGCACGAAATGAGTTATGGTTGAAACCCTTGGTTTGTTGGTATTGTAGGGGGAATCGAATCGTTCCAGGGTTCTTGGTGCAGGACTTCGTCGCCATCGGCGGATCGAATGCATCGGTTCCGGTAATCTTGCTGGTGTGAGAGAAGCAGGGAATGAGAAATGGAACGACCCGTATATAAACTATCCAACTGGTGGTTTCCTTTTTCGGGAATCCCCTTCTGGTTCATTTCCACATTCCCTACTTATCGCACCAGCAAGTATTGTGGGCAACCAGCAAAAACCAGCATGTAAAGTCTAGAGGGAACACATCCTTGTTGTTTTTTGTGGCAACTGGAAGCTTTTCAGGTAACCAACCCTTGGCCCCAGCCAAGTTGCCACTAGTTGGTTCTTTGGGTTGGCGGTTTGGCTTAGTTTGATCGCCGTTTTGATTCGCAGAAACCGGAGCCTATTCAAAGGCTGGAGTGGAAGCCAATCAAGTTTCTTAAAGGAACCTTCTTTTGAGGTGAGGAGTTCGATGTAAATAATGATCTTGAGAGAAGCAAGGAAAGAAACCACTGCAGTGGTTTGTTTCAAGGGAACCACGCGCGTTCAAGGCAACAAGGATTTCTCGAATTCAAGAAAACCAGTGGCTATGTTTCGCGGTGTATTTTTAGACTTGGACCCAAGCGCTTCGCCCAAAAGAATTGCTTTGACCCAACCCCAGAAACCAACCATCGCCAGGTTCACTAAACATCATACCTAGACAGCCTCCCCCGAACCAACATGAAAGCTCCCAGGAGCCCGTCAATCGACTTGGTTCCATTTGCAGAGGCCTTATGGGAGCTTCCATTTTAGTCTGAGGGAGTGTAGCCAAGTGCCGAGTGGATCGTCCATCCACAGTATGGCTATGAGTTTTGATAGAAAGTGGCTGGTGGACAGGAATCCCCAATTCTGGGGGTACCCCCTTTGGGAGTTTCCAAAAAGAAACAGAGCCGTGGGTGGTACCTATGAGTCTGTGTCGGCCTCCTTTCAAAGTGTCATATTCTTAAGTTGACTGAATATGAAGTGCAATCTGACCGTACCTGGATCGAAATCCATTTCGCACCACCTAAGAAACCCTGGAATGATTTGCTTCCCCAACGTAAATACCAACAAGCCATGGGTTTCCGCTGGTTTCCAAGTGGTGCAGTAGCTGTCGCAACCTTCTAATTCTTTGGGCTGTTCTTCAAAACGCAAGCAGAAGCCAGCACCACTTCAGCCTTTGCCCAAACCCAACAAAAAAACGTTTGGTGAGTCTGGATCATGGAAACCAAGAACCTAGGTAGCCAAGTTGCGATCGCTTTCTTCAGCCGATGTTGCTTGCTGGTTTTTGGATGGTAAAGTGATAGGAAGAAAGCGATCGCAACTGGCGATCCAGGAAGTCCAAAACAACCCCAAAAGTTTGGCGATTCTGGATCATTGAAACCAAGAAGTCCAAAACAACCAACAACCCCCGAGAAAAAAATAAGACAAAAACGATCCGATTTCAGTCGCCGTGGGCCACATCTGTCCTCCACCTGCACAACTTGCTCTGGGGACTGTTGGCGCCTCAGCCGAGCTCTATCGGAAGGCTACCCCCTACTCCAAATACCCACGTTTTTAGGGTATTTTGTGGAAAACCTGGTTTTTCAAGGTGAATACCTCCTTTTTTAGTAGAGGGTCAACATGATACCCTAAAAATATAGTGGGTATTTGGAGTCGGGGGTATGCGCCCATTTGCTTTTTCGCGCCCTGGAAACAACATGAACAAAATATCTGGATCGCCAGTTGATCGCTTTTTTCCATCCACTTTACCCCAAACACCAGCAACAGTGACTGAAAGAAGCGATCGCAAGAGTGACTTCGATTCCCTTTAAACCCAACCCGGGGAAAATAACGCATCTTCATTTCAGCACATGAAAGTATGGATCCTGGGTCACTAGTAACCTTTCCCCGGCTTCCTCCAAATTCTCGGCCTCGGCTTGCCCAAAAAATTAACAACAACTTCCGACTGCCGCAAGCCTTCGCTTCCAGCGGCAACCAGCGGTCAGGAGAGTTTTTAGAGCCCAAAGCTTAGGGGTGGGCCTAATGCCCCCTATTTCACTGGGTCCTCGAAATCTTGAGCCGCTGTGCAACGGAGATCAGTAAATCGGTAAACCGTCCTCGAATCCCAAGACAAATTAAGCAGATCCGCCTGAGGCCGGACAAGGAAACATCAACCGAAGGCGAGAAGAAAAGAAAACACGCGCAACACCACGCGTTGGCCTAGTGAAGAGTCGGAAAGTCGACTTCCGGAGTCAAGAACAAGTTGACTTCTGAACAGCGGATGGAGCTGGACAGCGCCACTTCTTTGAACTTGTATCATTTGCCTTTGATCCACCGGGAAAGAAACATTCCAAAAACCAAAAAACGAGCACCGCACTGGAGCTGGATTCGCGGCCACCTTCGATTGCCCGAAACCGACTTCGAAAGCCATCGAGGTCTGGGATTGGTCGGGCTTCAACCCACCTCGAAGTCTTGGAACCCAAATCCAATGTTCCAGGGGTACCTTCCAAATCCATTCTGAACCCAGGGATCCGAATCTTTTCAGGACACCTCCAGAAACCCGGGGAAAACAGCAGGTGCTTGAAAAGAGCGATGGTTGCAAAGAATGGGGAATCAACCCCTAGCAAATGTGCTCATCACTTTAAGGGCACGATGCCTCCGATGGTCCCCGGTCCGTTGATTCCAACCCGACTGGCTGGCCGGAGGCGCGAAAACTCGCGCTCTTCCATTAGAGCCGCCATGGCGCTCAAACCGCAATCGGGAATTACGATTCGTTCTACGTGCTCCAAAAAAGAGTTGGGCCCGAGGAGACTTTGACACCAAAGGGATCTCCGCGTTGGAGTTCTGGCTTACAAAGCGGCGGCTCGAAACTGGTCGACTTTTGCTTTTAAGCGGGCTGTCTCTCAAAAACGCGGGTTGCAGTCTTCAGCTTCCCTCCTGGTGGTTTGGCTTTGTGGCTTGGTGGTTGGGTGGCTGGGGTGTTCAAATCCCCAAGCCAGGGGGCAGTCCTGGGGCTGTTTTCGGTGGACCGAAGAAAGAAACGGCCACGAAGAATTGAAGGCCCGGACTGGTGGGAATGGGCAGGTTTACTTCCGCTTGCTTTTTCGCCCAGCATATCCAGTGGTGAAGCTGTTTGCCTGTTGGGAAGCCATAAACCATATTTTCAAGCAAATTGAGATGTTCAGTGGCGTTGAAGCCATAGCTCGGGTCAAAGGATTTAGAGCCAAATTGCATCGACTCATTTGCAATCCTGGAGAAGGGGTCGTGCGGCCGCACCGCTTACCGCGTTCGGCGCTCGAAAGCAGGACACGCCTCCCCAGATTGGGGAGGTTGTCCAGCTTGCCGCGTTCAGCGTATTGAGCCTTGAAGAAAACCAGCGGACAAATAGCAAGCAAAGATTAAAATCGCAACCCCAATGGTCCGTCACCACATACATCCCCTCATCTGATGATGAATGCCGACAAAAGCAGACATGCTCACCTGGAACAGTTCTGAGCCACGCAGAAGGACAACTACCGCCCCTCGCTCCTACCAAGTTCGGCATCAGGTGTATGAAGGCTTTACTTACTACATGATACTCCCAATCGCACTAGAACAGGGCTGTGGGAAATGACCACTTCTGTGATACAACAAAAAGGGCCTCCCGAAGACAAACCCCCCATTTGAAGAGGGGATTCCCTTGTATCACAGAAGTGGGGATAAACCCGTTGATCCCACAACCCTGCACTAGAATGGCCAGCAGAAAGAATTGCTTGCGCCTTCTGACCAAAGCGCATTTGTGGTTCAACTCTCCAAAGCAAGTGCCCAAAGCATACCCCTGTCAGCCCCAACTCCTTTTGGCCAGCTGAGCGCTTCAACATGTTCAAAAAATGCTGCTTGAAAGGCAAGCGCGTTACACATGCTAGTCTTTAAACAAATTCAGATGGCCCCAACCCCTCCATGCATTTGGGTCTGGCCAAACCTGGTCCTACTGTGGACGAAAACCATTTTGCACCACCTAAGAAACTATGGAATGATGCTTTCCATGTAGATACCAACAAACAATTGGCTTCCCATAGTTTCAAAGTGGTGCAAGAGTTCGTCCATCCACAGTAGTATTGATGTACAGACCCAAGGATTGCCGTCCTATTTAGGGAGGATCTGGAGGGTCTAGGGGCCCCCCAAAAGAGTGCCATCAGTCCCCAAGAGCAAGTTCGACTGAGTTTCTCTCGCGTTCTACTTCCCAAGTCAAGCAAAACAAGATCAGCGTGTGGCCTCCTACAATGGGAACCGAGCATTCATGAACGTGGGCAAGGTTCAGAAACTAAGCCTCTGGTTGATTTTGATCGCAGGGTATCCCATTTAGGGACCCCCCTCCCCCTTCCTCCACAGGGTTGATTTTCATCCAGGGTCGACATGTATTGTTTCGGGGTACACCTTTTGGTTGGTTTTAAAGGGAAACCAAAAGGAAACCGTTGCCTGTTTCGTTTTCAGGAGGCGGTCCAAATCCAATTTTGAGACATGCCCACAACACGACTGGCTGGCTCTCGTGAGAACCAACAGAGGTTTTGGGAATGAACCGTTTGGGATGGCCCGAGGCAACTTTTAGAGGATGGCCTGTATTGATTCCAACTCATTCCTCTAGGGGTAACTTCCCCATTCTTTCCAGGGATCGTTTTTTCTAAAAAAACATATGAATAAACCCAGGGAAACGGCCGGTGGTTGAAAAGAACCATGGTTGAAAAGAATGGGGAATCAACCCCTTCCCCCCCCCCTTTTAAGCCATCCTGAAGTACCGTCCGGGACCCTCTGGGACTCATTCCGCGTATCGAACCAGCACCCGGCGTGCCCGGTAGAAGAGGGCGTCCCCCCCACAGGGGGGCCGCGACGAGAGGTCGACCACCTGCCGCAAGAGATTCGATTCGGCTGGTGATCCCTTGCGTTTTCGTGGCATATGACCCAAACCCATCTAAACTCCTAGTCTGAAAGCCTAAAAGACTTCAAAGGAGGGTCTTTCCGAGTATCGTTGGAGGGCGGATCAATAATATATTTGATCATATGCTTGTACTGAAAAGTTTGACTTGAAACAAACAAACAGCTTTAACCAGCATCGGTTCAATGCCTGTAGCATCCGTTTTGCACCCCCCCGCATCGCCAAAGAGCTATTGCTGTTAGTTTAGGCTTTAGAAGCTAGGGGACCAATACTCGTCCTCAAATTCTGTTTGAATCCAGCTTCATTTGGTACGCGTTTGGGTTGTGTCGCACTATGTGTTGCTTCGTTTTCTCTTCTTCCGCATTTTTGCCATGTATGCTGGCTCAACGCATTACCAACAGCGGTAGGCCCGCAGGATCGTTTTTTCCGCGAAAGTACCGTTGGGCACTGGCTGCAGTGTAAATTTCGTGCAAGAGGTTCAGGAGCTCGGATTTAGGGTTGATTGTTCAAGGTAGGTCTACGGTTAGTTTAGGGATTTGCGTCGTCTGGACACTAGATGTAGGGTGAATGTATGGTTGGTTTAGGGTTGGTTGAGGGTGGGTTTGAGTTTATTCTTCTGTTTTTACTCTGGCTTAGAGCCACTAAATGCCTGCTTGTCAAACACTCAAAAGGCTTCATTTAAGGACTGTCCAACGAGCATCCCTTACTTTTTGGTTCTTGCCGGAGAGGTTGGAATAAGGGTACCCCTTTTTCTGCAGTCTATTTTCGTAGGGGAACCCTCCCCCCAAAACAAAGACCCAACCTTCAGGACTGCTGCATTACAGACGTTTCGAGGTGGCGCTGTTTATGCGTCTTCTTGCAAGACTCCGTGAACCAATCGAGAGAGCATGTCGATCGATCGACCCTCAGACTCCCACAATTCAGTGATCCTCTTCCATGCATGCACCCTCACCAAATCGCCTGCGCCAGCAAAAAAAGGCACCAGGTTGCGGATTGTTGGATAGGTACTTCTTTCGAGGCCCGCCAGTCCGAGCACTGCGCTTTTGTCAGTCCCAGGCCTGTGTGGTCCCCACAGCACCTGTGTGTTTTGTTGTGGTTATTCGGGGTCTTGCGTTGGTCCTTCCGGGAGGGGGTCTCGCCGCTTTTGGTGTGGTAAAGTGCTTTTCGACCCACTATACCCATGACTCTCATGATGTGGGCAATAGACTAGCAAACTGGCCATATTGCTGAACGACGTTCCCATCAGTCCTACATCCATCCCTAGGCACCCGTATTCTCAACAGGCCTCACTTGACATCCATATGTATCTTGCTCTGGGTGGCTTCAAAGGCAATGGAACCAACATGTTGGGTTGCCGGGGGGGGTTGGCCCGGGCACCCAACATGTTGTTTTTGGAGGGTCCCGCGTGCTGCGACAGCCCCATGTCCGTGTGAAAACATGCCCCAGATTCCAGTCAGCGACTACAACTGCACGGTAGATACAACGAAAATGGTCCGACAAAGAGCGGGCACCTTGATGTAACCCCGGCCTTTTTCTCATTTCGTAAGGCTGCCACTGGAAATGGCTGTGTGAAAGGGATTTGGAGGCTCCTTTTGCTTTCCTTTCAACCCAGCCTGAAAATGCGTTCCCCCCCCAAAAAAAAAAGAAGAGAGACAGGACCCACTGGAAGCTTGAGTTTAAGAGGCCAGTTCTGGTGCTTCCCCGTCATTTCTCCATGTTTTTCCTGTGGTTCTCCACACTTTCTCCATGTGTTTGTCGCGTTTTCATGTTTTTCCCGTGCTCCGTGCTTTCCATTCCACAAACCCGACTGAACCCCCGACGAACGGCAAAAAAGAGTGGTCTTTGGCGAGGCAAGGCCTGGAACCCGTTGCGGGCCACGCGCGCCGCGATCTCCTCAATGCCTCGGACGCTGGCGAGGCGATCGATCCACTCGAACGCGTGGTTTCTCTGGCCGTCCGTCGCGCGCTTTACTTGGTGCAATGTGGACTTTAGGGGGTCCCTACATTTAGTGGGGAATCATCAGTGGATCCAGATTATTCAACAGTTTATTCATGGAGGGGTGGGGGCCCTCCAAAAGTGGCCTCATTCCAGCCAGCATTAATTACTCGGATTTTGCCTGGGATTTTTCGAGGTTTTACGGCACCACACTTGGCCAACGCCTGCGAACATCCTTCCTGGCTTAAGTTTGACCGGTCCAAGACGGAGCTCTGCATCTACCCCCGCTGTTGCAGGTGATGCCCGCTTAGGTGATCTCGTACGCAGTGACCAGAGCGGTCTCACGCACCCGGAGCAAAGCGCCAAAGAAACATCACTGTTAGCGGGGGCCATGACATGGGCGAAATCCGTTGCTTTTGAGTTAGTGTCAGGCAGGTGTACAAAGCGACATGAACAAGGTGAAGAGTCTTCAGCGCCATGTTGGTTTCACTTGGTCAATGACTTGTCAGCTGAGACAACTAAAGCCGGACCCGGGAACGGGTTGGGGAACCCCCAGAAAAGCACATTCATGGGTGCCCCAGTCCTTCATTTTTGTTGCCCAAGTGCACTTGACAAAGGGGCTGGGAACCAAAGAAAAGAGGTCAGAACAAAGAGCCTGCTTGAAAACCATGCAGATTGTCTCATGAGCGTTTGTTTCTCTTCGAAAGCCCACGCAGGTTTACCGTCCCATGCCTTCCCCATTCTCAGGGATTCTCTTCAAGCAACCGGGGTGTTGTCAAGAATATGAAATATGGACCCTTGTTGGAACCTGCTGCCGCCTTGTGCCTTTTGAAGAGGATAAACAGGGCCCCTACTTTTGATAAACCTTTAAGGGGCCCAGGGTCTGTAAACAGAAGTCTTTGGGTGGTTTCTCTGGGTGAACACAGATCAACCCGTTA